TATTGAGTGGGTGGTTTCAAAATTAGAGTGGGCTTCAGCAGATCCCGCTTAATTTAAGGGACCATGGTCAGAAAGATCTGAAAAGTTGGTACCTTCTAGAATTGGCCAAGGTGATTTGAGGAGAGGAAACTTCTAGGGTTTTAGTGGGTAAGGAGGTTGGTGGTGAAAGAAACGTAAAGGTGGTTGGTGTGGTAGAGGGAATGCCTTGAACTATGGATAGAAGGGATGATGATTGTGATTGAGTTTCATGATCAATTTGAGATTGTTGTTGTAGTGGAGGTTAATATTGTTCAGTTGGTAATTGAGGCAATTTGGATTTTTAGGTGGGAGCGGAAGTGTCTATAAAGGATGGTGGAGTAGATGAAGTTATAATTATGGTTGAAGTTTGTGGAGGTGGAGTAGGAAATACGCATTTAGCAGTTTCAACAGAGGGAGCAGGAACTTTAGATGCAGGAGACTTACTTGGAGTTTTAGAGATTGAGGTTTGGTTCTTGGTTGAAGATGTTTTAGAAATCTTCAGAACTTTCCGAATGGTAGGATTTCTCTTTGACTTGGATTTTCTTTTCTTGGAACGGACATCAGGTGGAGCATCCATAAGATAGTTGCAATCGAACTCAACTGGATCAAGGCCTTCTACTTCAAGAAAAACATCTATTATTTTGGGAGGATCAATCTTGGTAAAAATTGGAAACTCATCAGTAGGAGAACGAGTGTTTATATGTTTATGCTTCTTGGTGTCAAGAGAGGGATTAACCTGAATCTTCTGAATGATACCTATATGTAGATAGCTTTTACCATTAAAGGATTTTTGAATCTGGTAAGAAAGATTGTTATCTACCATATCCAACGACTGATGGTGTGTAACTAAGCCGCTTTCGACCAGAATGTATGTGATTAATCTGCCCAGAGGGACGTAGGTTTGGATTTTTCCCAGATTCCTTTATATGATAGAGTCTCAAAGGTAGCGAAAAAGAAGACATGGCAGATTGACTCTGTAACCTTTCAAGATGTAGAACATAATCACTTTCTGATATGTGTTAACATAGTCTGAAGAGCTTGTGGACCTTCTATGATGAATGCAACCCAGAAGCAATCTGAACCAAACTCTCAATTTTGGAGAAATTTATTGAGTTTTGCCAGAAATCTTGTTACCATCTTCAGTGAAAATTGTTGGTTGAATCGTATCATTGAGATACCTATATTTTGGAGGGGAATTATACACTCTTCTTCCAGGGTTGTATGTCCAATCCACTAGTGTAGCAATTGTTTTCTCAGTCATTACCAGTTTTGCACCTTTGATATGAGAGACAATGTATTTTCATTTGCATTTGCATGAACCCAGAATTCCTTGACAAGATCAACATAGGTTGTCCGTAGAGTCAAAATAAGAAATATCCCCAACCTTGCTTAGATAGTTAATCAAGAAGATCAACACCATTTTCCGTGATGTTGTCAAAACCTACCATGAGTTTGCTCAAAACTTCAAGTTGATCTAGAGGGGTATCAAGACTAGTTATGACAGGGCCACTGAGAATGCTTTCTAGGGTTTTAATGGATTTTTTTAGCTTTTTAGAGGCTGGAGCAAGAGGTTGTGATTGTAGTTGAGAAGAGGAACCGCATTTTGCCAGTTGGTCCGTTTCTTGAGAGAATTGTACTAGTTCACGCTCAATGTGATGGTCCATGGAAGAAGGAGAGAGAGAGAATAACAAGAAATAATATAAAGGGTACTGAAGGTGATGTTTAGATAAGATTGTGAAAATAAGAGGGTTTTAAAAAGGTATTTATACAAAATTTTGAAAATAATTGTTGGAACTAGGAAAAGAGAAAAAAAAAACGTACATAAAAAGTAAATAGGAGTAATGATAATTTTTTTAACCTAATCTCAGACTATCCCATTGCCCAAGGTGATGTTTCTAGTGATTCACATTAATTGGAATTGACGAGTGTCAGGTTCCTTTGTTTCTTAAGCTAAAAACAGACACGTCTTTGTTATGTGTCAAAGCGTTTGAGAGCATTATTTCTAACTGGTAGAAATAACAAAATAAGAAAACTAATTTACAATTCACATTTGGTTAAGCAGTTTACCAGAAACTTATTCAGGACATAAGGTCATGTGTAGATTATCCAGAATGAGTCAGAATTTATCTTCAGATAAGGGTTTTGTGAAGATGTCAGCCCACTGATGGTCTGTATCTATAAATTTTAAAATAAGAGTCCCTTTCTGAACATAGTCTCTGATAAAGTGATGCTTAATTTCTATGCGATTTTCTCTAGAATAAAGGGTAGGATTCTTACTTCAACAAATTGTTGTTGTGTTGTCTTAAAAGATTGGTATATTTTCTTGATAAATCAGGAAGTCCTCAAGATGAATTTTCATCTAGAGCATCTGGGTGCTACAAAGTGATGCTGAGATATATTCAGCTTCTGCAGTTGAGAGTGAAATGGTTGATTGTCTCTTGCTTGACCAAGAAATTAGGTTTCTTCATATAAACTGATAGTTTCCAGAAGTACTTTTACGTTCTATCTTGTCTTCTGTATAATCTGCATCACAGAATCCAGACAGGTTTTGCTCTGATGTTTTTATATACATCAGGCCAAGGTCAGATGTACCCTTCAGATATTTGAGGATTCTCTTAACTGCAATTAGATTAGTTTCCTTAGGATCTGAATGAAAGCGGGCACATAAGAAAAAAATATATAGAATATCTGGTCGTGAGGCTGTAAGATAGAGAAGAGAGCCAATCATACCATGATATAGCTTATGACAAACCTTTTTCCTTTTTCATCTTTTTCTAGAATGCATGTAGGATGCATAGTGGTCTTAGCAGGTTTACTTTGTGACATATAACCACTACAAGAAAATTGGCAGATTGTGACAGGTATTTTTGTAGATTACGACAGTTAAAACCGTCGCAATTTTCTTTCCACGACGGTTGCTTTACCGTCGCAGAAGTGTGTGTCCCCAACCTATTTCGCGACGGTTACAAAAACTGTCGTTCAAGTTTACGACGGGTTGATACCGTCGTGACTATCTTTTGAGTTTCTTTTAATTATTGATGGCGACGGTTCGATACTGTCGTGAATATCTTTTGAAATTGATTAAATTGTTTATGGCGACGGTTCGATACCGTCATGACTTTTGTTGATTACGACGGTTCGGTACTGTCGCCATGACTTTTGTTTATGTCTTGATTTTTTTTTTATTTTTCTATTATATATATTTTTTATTTAAATTATTATCTATGTAAAAAAATTTAAATATAGTTTTTTTTTGTGTTATTTTTTTCTTTAAATTATTTCTTCTTTAATATATTTATTTATAGTATTATTTTTTGTTTTATTTTCTATCACTTTGTAATATAGTAAAAATAATTTCAATAAAAAATATTTAACATCAAATAAGCATTATAATATCCAAAAAAATGTGTGTTCCATAATCATGTAAAATGCGAGTTCCATAATCATGTCAAGTAGTACAAAAAACCCAAAATATATCAATTCATAATCTTATAATAATAAGTATCATTATGCCAAAAATACATGAGAAAGTTCACAATCTAATTATCTCGATCATAGCAAAGTCTAATTTGTCCCCCCTGAAGTTCCATTATCTCCAATACGATAGCTAGACTCAGATGAACGTCTACCATCAGCGGGTGATTCCAATCCCTAAAAAAAGGTATTAAAATAATAATCTTTAAAATAATACTCATAAAATTTAACTTTAAATGTGTCAAATTAATATACCTGTCTTCCATTGGAATAGAGTTAGCAGTACCTCATGTAAAGGAAGGTTCAACCCAAGTTCAGACGAAGTTGATCGCAAATTGGCAAATCTTCGTAAATCCCTTTCGGCTATACATGGAAGGATATATCCATCTATTTCATGAACCAACAATCAGCATTTCAAACAACTTCCAAATTTTCATCCAAGAGGTAGCATATACCAATTCTTGACTAAGACTAATGACATGACTCGGAGCACAAATTCTTGAGTTACAAGAATAAGCATTTGAAATTAGATAAAGTACCTGTTCTCTCCGAAGGCCATTCGAAGTATACAGCGCATATATGATGGAGCTTAGTACGTTGAAATGGATACTGAGAATGAGCCCTACAGAAATTTTTGCAAATTCTTATTTTAAGTGCGTATCTAATTAGTAACCAGATTCAGAACTATAGCAGATAAACTTTACCATTAACATATAGCTTTCGTAGGTTCTGATTAGTATATTCTAAATTCCAATCAATATTGAGTATAGTAAAGGAACTGGAAGCAATGAATTAAATAACATACTTGAGCACAAAGTCTGAATCAGCTGAGTGGCATTTTGGCTTCAAATAAGCATCAATCACTTGTAAAATGGTATCGTCCTTTCCTATATTATGCATTAGTATTTGTTCAACCCCTTCCATACAATACTCACCTTTTCCATACACCAAACAACCCCTTCCATAACCTCCCTCCGAGAATGCTACTGCTCACACACAACCATTACCTTCCAACATCAACACTAATTTCACAGCATTCAGAAACAAAAATATTGAATCATAACAACAGATCAACTGAATCAAAGAAGAAGAAATAACACCTTATCACAAGCTTAGATCCACCACAGTTTCATGTTTCCTTTAGCTTCCCCACCATCTGTTGGAAACAGAGACATAATGGTTCAATTATCTAGAAATAATAGTAATAATGTGGATAGTACTTCATCTCCTGATAAATCAAATCAAGTTGCAACTGTTGCTTCTGAAACTGGGTCGGCATCCTCAACGATTGTTCACTTCTATTCTTCTGATCCAGTATTGGTTCCATCTGATAACTCATGGCTTCCTGGTGTTGTTGGTGCCATTAGACGCGAAGTGGAAAACCAACACTCTCATGGAGAATCAAATGCTGTTAACTCAGCCAAGAACAAATTAACTGCTTTTTCTGAGACTAGTAGCTCTTCTATGAAATAAAAGATTCAAGGTAAATCCCCGAGAGTGGAAAAAAATCATGGCAATGAGATACCATCCCCATCATCATCGGTAACTCTCGGAAGCCCTTCAGTTAGTCTTCCATCCTCTAATTACAATAACCGGTCTCAACAATTAAATGGCCCTCGAAAAGCTCTTTTTAATAAGGAATGGAAACCAAAGCCCACAAATACATATAATCAGAATTCTAGACCTGCTACATCCACCTTCACAAACTGTGACCTGCAAAAGCTTTTCCCGTAATCACCTACAACTATCAATATCACGGAATCAACAAATTCGTCCCATTAACAACACATTCAGGATCGCAGAAAAGATGGAGTAGAAGAGGAAAGATGCATAAATTAGAGAACATCATACCTGAAGCCGATCTCGTGCCAAATAGAAAACCGGAAAAAGCCTCCTCTTCGTCGGCTTCGGTTCCATTGCATATCTTGGTCGTAAAAACCAATTTGAAGGGTTTGAAGTTCGAATCGTGGACTCCTTGATGATAGTCACTGCCGAGAAGCAAAGAGAGAGCAATCTGAAGATCATGGGTTACTCAGTTACTGATTTTCACCAGAACAAGAACTCAATACCCTTGAATTTTGAATTGACAAGAAACAACGAAAGATCGTCTAAGAAAGCATTGTGACTCTTATGTTAAAACATCAATCAGAAATTTACCAATGAATCCCGTCCCAATCCAAGTTTATTTTCAATCTCTGCCATCTCATAACATACAACATATCCACCATCTCCTAACTCATTAATAAAAAAAAATTCTTGTAAGTCATATGAAAGTACAAAAAAATCCTTAGAACTTATACGAAAAATACAATTAGCACAAAAATATATTCAACAATAATATTTAAAAACGAAACCAAATGATATACTCACCAAGGCAGATTTCCCTGTACACTGTCCTTGCACCAAAGAGAAATATATCTGAATCTGAACTGAAACATCCATCCTATAATTCTCAACAATGAATGACAACAATCATGATATTAGCAAACAGCAATAGTACTAGTATCCCAAAAATAACTGATAATTACAAAGTAGACAAGTGCTTACGCATAATGATTCAGAGTTCAACAAAGCACACTGTGCTTCAGCTTCTTCAATCCTGCATTTTCGAAAAAGAGCAAGATGCTATCAGTTCAAATTGGTTCTTTAGCATCCATCAATGCAACTTGTTCAATCAACTTTCAAGAGGAATAAAAATTCGATAATATCATTTCTAAATAATATATGTTTAGTACCCTACATACAAATTTTAATTTTTTATTAGTCCATAAATAAATTTGAACATCAACAATTCCGGCAAAATATGATAGCATTCTTTAAAGCAAAACACCATCAAACTGTAACTTTTATTAAATATTACCCATTCAAACAAGAGACGCCGAGAGCCATCCCCAAGGCTTTAGCCTCTTTAATCATACATGAAAACTCAGACCCCAAATTTCAATTCCAACCTCTTCCTTTATTATTCTTTCCTTGTGTGTCCCTTCATCTTCTTCTTCTAATCATATCATCATGGACAGAAACAATTGTCGCATTAAATCTAAGTCATTTATTTATGGAATATGATTCCTAACAATGAAAAGTACTCTACGCTAAATAGGAATTATCACATCGAAAAGTACTCTACGCTAAATATTTGCGAAAATCAGCCAGTGAGTAGGGAAATATGGAGACGCAAGGTAAGCAATTTCCATTGTTGGTAAAAAGGAAAAATGGATTCTCGGAAAAATAGATAATCAAATTTAAAAAGCTAACTACCTGAACCACACCTTCACTAAAACCATCTCCAACTTTCATACTCTGAACAGCATCAAGCAATGCATTTGCAAACTTGTCATATATACCTTTACAGAAACATGGTTACATAATAAAATGCAAATAACTTAAGAACTGAAACAAATAATGTATCTAAATGGACATTGAATTGGTGTGAGATAGAAACGGGCAAATAATCAATGGGATACATTAACATTACTGATTAAAGAAAATCTCTTATAATAATGTTGGTAAATCTCTTATAAGAAAGTGGGTCCAATTTCCCTCAATTCCTTATCTTATGTTCTCTAGTTTGCATTTTTTATTTTTATTTATTTCAAAACAATTCTAAATTCCATTTTAAAACTGTGTGACAATTAAATAAGCAACCACTTGCTGAAATAATTCTAAATTCCATGTTAAAATTATGTGACAATTAAATAAGCAACCACTTGCTGAAATTGCAATCATTAAGATTGGGTAATACAGGCTACAAAATACTAACCAAAATTCCTGAAAAGATTTATAATGTTGTCTCATAAAACACATTACATGAACCAGCTAGTATGTGCTGTGGCAAATTCCCACATCCTACAGCAGTTAGGAGAAGGAACTTTGAGCAAATAATGTAGGGAATCATTGTTAGCACTAATAGCACATTACCGTCAAACAAAATTAAGGATGGCAAATCAGAATAAGGATGGCAGATCAGAAAAATGTATTATAACAGTAAAATTGATAGTTTGATATCTCGTTTATCTAACCTTCTTGCACAAGAATTCTATTTGCACATACACATGTTTGTCCGCTATTTCGGAACTTTGCTGCAAGCTGCATACGGGAATTTATTATTACTAGTTGAAAACAGAAGGCCCAAGAGAATCATAAATTCTACAAATTGGAAAGATAAAAATAGCAAAATATTGTTTGATATAAAAACTTCAGCACAACAAGATAGATTAGAATCTGAAGCTAAAGAAATAGATTTAGAAGTAAAGATTAATTGAAGAGAGAACAATTGAATAATGAACAAGTGTATAATATTACAAAATGTAGAAACTACATAGGAATTAGTAATCCTACTGCCAAGAGCTAAGTTCTTTCAAAGAAACAAATTTCTTTTTGCCCATAACCAACTTAATGAAACATGCATTAAATCTAAGTCATTTATTTATGGAATATGATTCCTAACAATGGTTGTTGTTGTAACATACTCAGGTGTAGGAAGAGCTATCAACAAATGAAGAAAGAATATGTAGCTTTGAGAAAGAAACTTGAAAATTATTAGGAGAGTAAAGGTCAGAACAGCGCCATAAGCACTCTATCTAAGTCTAATCCTCCTAAAAGCTATAAGTACAACCTACCGAGAACCAAAACAAACAACCACATTCACAAGAACCCTCCATATAATCCATTAATTCAACTGGAAGACTAAAAAGCAACACCCCACTTTCTTCCAGATCACTCTACGTCAAACAATATTACAGCAACAACATCACAACATGTCTCAAAAACTGCATCGCTACCAATATCACTGTGGCATTTACCAACAACTTCAACACCTGCTACTTAACTACAATTGAAACTCAAGTAACTTATTAACTATTGATTATATATCTATATCCAATGGCAATCATAAATACGAAGAACACACATTGTGTGGATTGCAATGTAACAAATAGCAATGAACTAGGGTTTTAAAAAGGTCTGCCACCTGCCACTGCAATTTCAATTGTGACAGCAAGGTTTTTGATATATGGACTGCAGTGTGCCTCAATTCATGACTATAACCGCAATGAAAAACCAAACTCAATAAATAAATAAATAAAAATTTGAAAAGTGAGGAAAAGATGATTACCGTGATAATCAACCAGCAGGATTAAGAGCCATCATCATGTTGTTTCCACCAGGAAGATAAGTAACATTAGGCGATTTCGCAAGCGTTCCAGCAACTTCCCTGGAAGCTTCAATCCTCCTAAGAGAGTCCCAGACACCAGCAGCAAGCTTTGTAGGAATAAGATCATGAAGAATAGTCATTGTGTTCGCATCTAGTGACGGGGCAGCATGAAATCGAACAAAAGGAAATTCCTAGAGAAAATTACATGATTTAGAACATTGACATACTATGGGAAACTATTAAAATTTTCAAATTCCTACGGCAAAGAGTCAAAGAGCATTGACTACATACTCTTAATGAAGCAAAAACAGAAGCAACTCGAGTAGCCATCACATTCAAACATGCAACAGCTTTTTTATTGTTCTCCTCGTCCCCATATAGCTCCTCTAAAGCTCTCTCATTGTTTGTAACGAAACCCTGCATTAACAGGACAAAATGACAACACAAAATAACGAGATAATCACAAGAATGAGAAAATACACTAAAAAACTTCCTACTGAGCACATTTGAAGGTTAATAAATTTTCTTAAATGAAATAATCTCAACAAGCCGATTTCATGAATTTTGAGCTTAAAAAGTATAGCTACACTATACCTTTTTAGAGAGACGCTATTAGAACAAAATACAAGAATGATTAAAATATCCAATTTGCACAAATCATTGGACGTTCGATCCATTTCCATGATTGTTCCATTTTTAATGCGTGAAAATTACTCCATTATAAATCCTCGACAAGTCTCTAATTTTGCAGATTCAGTCAAAGGCATAATTGTTTGTAATATTTATTCAAAGTATACTGGAATTTGAATCTGAAGAACAAACTTTATATCTGTTTTGCAGACGTGTTTTTTCAACAGCTAATAGATTCTAATAAGTTATTATAACTAAAATAGTTGACCTGAGCTAATGGCTATGTACATTAATATTGTATATGTGGAAGTGGACAAATACTAGGTGCATGTCTACACTTAATAAGTTTTGAAAATTTCTAATACTGCTTATATAACTATGAAAGGGAAGAGAGTAATCTCATTCATATGAGCAAAGATGTAAAGAGTGGAAGGCAAGATAAATGAAGTACAACCACATACCACATACCTGACTGTCGATGGCAAAATATTCTAAATTCATCTGCCATGCACAATGAAAGAAAAAAAAATCACAATAAGCAACATATGAAATTGTTTTCGACAATATTCAATTTAACATAGAGTTCATAAACATTTTAAAAACAAAAACAAAACTTCACCTCTCTTAATGCACCAATGCGAGGCAAAACCAGTGTATCTTTCTTAATCTCCAACACCAATTCTCTGGCAATAGGTGAACTAAAGAAAACAAATGCTCTACAAAAACACAGAATATTACAGGCTTGAAAACCAATAAGTAGAAGTGAAGGTGAAATCGCAAAAAAAAAGGTACGAAAGAACACATACTTCCTGTATAAAGGTTTTCTTCCAGACATATCTGACAAAAACATTATTACACTACCAACACAGAGGGAGAATCAATAAGAAACAATTCTATAAAACCAGGTGGAATAGGTTAACTAAAACCATTTTCAAAGCAGCTAATTGAAACTATCAGACACAAGTTTATAATATTCCAAATATGCATTATTAGAAGAGAGATAGTGCACTTTTACCATCTCTTCTTCTCTTTCCCAGTGCCGATTTCAAATCTACACCACAAAATTCATAAAATTTACATGCATTTCAAAAAAATATAAACAATTTCTGATACTAAAATACACGAAAATACCGTCTTCTTCGAGGTCACTGCCGGAATCGTTGGGGTCATCGGAGACAGAAGGAGGAGCACGAAGAGAATCGGTGAGGGAGTTATGGTCATTGACGACGCCGAAGGAATTGTAGTTTTGTGTGACGTTGCCTTTTTCATCCGATTTAGGGTCTTCTACAAGGGATTGTAACAGTTTGGGAGGAATGGTGAAAGCGGGTTTCAAAACTTTAGGGTTCTTCTTTAGAAGACCCACACGAACCTTAGGTCGAGAATTCTTGTATTTTCCTCCTTAATTTCTACTGCCTTGCCTCCTTCGGTGATAAAAATTACCTTCCCTTTTCTCAAATTCCCGATTGGTCTGCCTCAGCAAATGTACAAAGTGGATTGCTGTTTGGCTGACCCTCTTCTTCCCATTCGGGTTGGGTTGACCCAGAAGCCAAGTAAGAAGGAATGGAACCACTGGAGAGTCATCCTCAGTTCACACTTGGGCAAAGACGACTGACTTTGTTTGGAAGCAGAACACGAATCGATTTCCGCTATTCCGGGTTCTTATTGAGCGTAGCGAAATCAAGGTTGTTTATTATAAAGTCAGCGAAGTTTCTATGGTGTTCTACCTTTGCGTAGTATCGGTCCACAGTGGAAGGCTCCGTACCAGCTCAGGTTAAGGAAAAGAAAGTGAATTGATGTTTTATGTATTTTAAGAGCTTTTTAACTTTTTTACTGCGACGGGTGTTTTACCGTCGTGCCCATGAGAATTTTTAAAGGTTTTGGGTGCGACGGTTGTTTTACCGTCGTGAAATGAATTTTAGGACGGATAATTTTACCGTCGTGAAAGGTTTAAGGGTGCGACGGGTGTTTTACCGTCGTGATATGCCTTTTAGGACGGTTAATTTTACCGTCGTGACTAGTTATTGGTGAAAAATCAATGTTAAAAGTGTTAAATGGGGGCCGACGGTTGTTTTACCGTCGTAATAATAATATTATGATGGTTAAATATACCGTCGCAAAATAAATATTAGGGACGGTTGGTGTCAACTGTCGTAAACACTGTCTCTATATGTCAATTACGACAGTTATCACATAACTGTCGCAATTTTTGTGTCGTTAAACACTAATTTTCTTGTAGTGCAAACTTCTTTAGAATTTCCTTGGTATATTTTTCTTAATGAATATATGTAGCTTCTGGTGATTGAATAATTTGAATCCCCAGAAAGTACTTTAGTTCTTGCATTAAGCTCATTTCAGATTCTGCGTGCATTAACTTACAAAATTCTTGATAGACAAATGGATTAGCAGAACCAAATATAATGTCATCAACATATATTTTACATATTATAAGATTTTTCAATTATTTTTACAAAAAAGTGTTGTGTCCACTTGTCCTCTTGAAAATCCATTATCAAGTAAGAAGGAACTTAATCTTTCATACCATGCTCTAGGAACTTGTTTGAGTCCATATAAAGATTTCTTTAACTTAAAGACATGTTCTAGAGATGTTAGGCTTTCAAAACCAGGAGGTTGATGAACATAGACTTCTTCAAAAATTTACCCGTTTAGAAATGCACTTTTAACATCCATTTGATATAACGTGATAATGTTATGAACAGTAAATTAAATGAGTAGATGGATAGATTCTAACATGGCAACTAGAGAAAAGGTTTCGTTATAGTTGTTGTACCCCAAAATTTTCCCTCCCATATTCTTCAAGATTTATCAAGAATCATCTCCAAATGGTTCAAGATTACTCAAGGATTGCACAGTCTAAACCACCTCCTAAGCCAGTCAAAATTAGGGTTTTGGTTCTTTCAAGGAATTTGAGGTTTTCAATGGTCCAATCAAGTCTCATATGCCCATATACATTGTCAAGCATCTACATGTCAAGTCTCAAGACTCACAGTGGCAGTTTGCACAGTCAAAAGACCTATTTGATCCACAGTCAACTACAGGGGCAAAATGGTCATTTTACAGCAAAAAGTCAGAATTTTTGGTCAACATCTTATTTTGAGGCCACAATCATCATTTTATCAATTCTTGATCATGATTCCTCAAGCATGGCTCAAAAATCGTCAAAGATGCAAAAGTTACTATTTTTGGACAGTAGAAAAGTCAACTGTATCTTGACCAAGGCATAACTTTTTCATGGTTCATCAGAAAAATCCCATCCGATGCTCATTTTGAAGGGGATGACATTTTCTACAAC